AAATGTTACGCTGAATGTCCATACCAAATTAGGTTCACTATTTATTTATTTATCTTCCACATCCCAGTAGTCTCCGTCACCTATTGTTATCAATATCATCATGTTGTTGGGAAATATCGATCAAAAGTTAATGGGTTTCTGCTGCTTGTCTCCACATATGCATAAAATACGAGATTTGTAAATAAAGTTTAATGTTCAAAATTTGAAATTAAGCGGTTGTGTTGTTATTGAAAACGTGTGTTTAGCGTTATTCGTAAGAAACGTGTCAGCAACGCGTTTTACGCATACATACACATTTCGTACACATTTTTTATCCCAGTCGTGGCAGGTTGCTGATGATAGATCATATGTTGATTGAACGTTTCAAATATGTTTACATTATTGAATATATCCAGAAAGGATAATAATCGTGAATACATGTATGGTATAAATACGACATATCGAATATATAAAGACATACATGTTAATAGTAATTTAGTGCTTATATCATACACATGGTTTTGTAACAAGAAGCCTATTTTTGACGTCTGTAATATCACTCAATTACATAATTAACATTGTATGAGTGTTGTGACACCAAGAAAGATATTGGATATTGTTGATTTTCGTCGTTGATAAGTTAGAGCATTTAAAAATGTGGTACATATGTGGAAGTATATGACTTGTTAGTCTAGTAGTAACTGATACCGTGGCGGCGTATTCCATGACTGGCGGCAAATCAGACCTAAAGTTGGCAATGGTGTTATGAACGCTGTGTCAAGATAAGCCTGGGGCTAAAACAGTTCAATCAAATAAAATATAAGGTTTGCCCTGCAGCTCAACTGTCGTAGAGGGGTATCTGTGGTAATATGAGATTGAACAGGCCACAAATAATATGTCTTGTAAAGGGTGGTAAATAACAACAATGTGAACGTGATCGCGCAAAATGCAATGACGGGTTTGGAGTAAGTCACTGCTGTGTGACGTCACTAAGCAGATTTGTCTGACAACTAATTTGTTTGAACATTATATGGGAAGTTTATCTCGGAAACTTCCTCCAGTTGCACTGTCAATATATTGCCAACAATCTCTTTTTCATTTTTATTTATTTTAAGCATCTATAATAAACCTCTGATTATCTATTCAGATGTTGCAGTGTTATTTTGGACACGGAATGGGAAGCTCGGTGTCTAATCTCACCAGTATGTCTAAACAAATCATTGTAATATCGACTTAAATGGACGAGAATACACGGTGTTGCTGATAACATTCTGAATGTGGGAATATATACGTCATTTTAACGCGGACTTGTCTTATCTAGTCACGCCGAGACACGATACAGTCGTCTGATAGTACAACAAGACACGTCCTCGTTCTGATGTACCGTGTCCTTCAGATGTTTTTCAAATTAGTGCCGTGCCATTAATACGGACAGAGGCAATAAACGTCACATGCCTGAGTATCACGTGATGGAGGCTGTATTATGACGTCACATGATGAGTTTGTTTGGTTCATATATATCTACCACCTTAACACCAGCGTACTACTTCTGTTATTAAGTTATATTATTGTATTTCCAAAAGTTACTGTCAAAAAATAAATTAATCGTTTTATAATCATCGAAAACCTCCCAAAGTCATCAATGAACGCAAACATCGGGAGGCGACGTATTCTAAATGGGGTGGCATTCTTAAGAGACCACCGCAGATGCGTGGTCAACTCATTTCACGGGCAGGGTATTTATATACAAAACATAAACAAACAACGCCCGGAACAATATGGAAGGCCTGTCTAACATATGTCAATCAGATAAGTACATGTACGGCCAAGGTCAATAACTTTCACACAAACTCGCTTTGACATACATTTAATTATTGTAAAATACTGTTTTTAGCTAGAATTAATTTTTGCTGAAAAAGACATTTTACTGTATGTATGAAGTTTGTTTTCTTTGATTTATGATGAGTTAAACGTAAAATATAGAAAAAATGGTATTTTCACTGATTCATCCCTCCAGTGGAAATAGCGAAAATAAATACCAAATACTAAAATATAAATACCGCTGTGATCAGTGACAGTGAGCAATAACGGTTAGTTACGATCAGTGTCGGGTAGTTACGATTAGTGACTGTGAATAGTGATGGGTAGTTACGATTAGTGACTTTGAACAGTGACGGGTAGTTACGCTTAGTGACTGGTAGATACGACCAGTTAATGTGAATGGTGACGGGTGGTTAAGCTTAGTGACTACGAACAGTGACTAGTAGTTATGGTTAGTGACTTTGAACAGTGACGGACAGTTACGCTTAGTGACTGGTAGATAAGATCAGTTAATGTGAACAGTGACGGGTGGTTAAGCTTAGTGACTACGAACAGTGACTAGTAGTTATGGTTAGTGACTTTGAATAGTGACGGACAGTTACGCTTAGTGACTGGTAGATAAGATCAGTTAATGTGAACAGTGACGGGTGGTTACGCTTAGTGGCTACGAACAGTGACGGGTGGTTACGATTAGTGACTACGAACAGTGACGGATAGTTACGCTTAGAGACTGGTAGATACGACCAGTTAATGTGAATGGTGACGGGTGGTTAAGCTTAGTGACTACGAACAGCGACTGGTAGTTACGAACAGTGACTGGTAGATACGATCAGTGAATGTGAACAGTGATGGGTAGTTATGATTAGTTACTGCGAACAGTGTCTAGTAGTAGCGATTATTTACTACGAGCAGTGACGGGTAGTTACAATTAGTGACTGGTAGTTACAATCAGTGACCGTGAACAGTGACGGATAGTTACTATTCGTGACTGAACAGTGACGGGTAGTTATTATTAGTGACTGAACAGTGACTGGTAGTTACGATTAGTGGATGTAAGCAGTAACTAAATAGTTACAATGACTGGTAGTTACGATTAGTGGCTGTAAGCAGTAACTAAATAGTTACAATGACTGGTAGTTACGATTAGTGGATGTAAGCAGTAACTAAATAGTTACAATGACTGGTAGTTACGATTAGTGGATGTAAGCAGTAACTAAATAGTTACAATGACTGGTAGTCACATTTACGAGCACTATCTAGCTATGCGCTCTAGCCATAACAGCAAATATTAGCTGTAAATAAAATAATATTATTTTTGAACAGTAACGATTATTTTGCTTTGTATTTGCTATAGTAATCATTACCCAAAACATTTTAAAAGAATTGCATTTAAACGTACAATGCAACGTCTGGCGAAAGAGGGCGCTTCACATTACTTTAGCAGTATATTGAAAACAATGGTCATTGTATTATAGCATAGACCGTCGATCGACAGCAATGTTATTGTAGTTACCCTCGTATATTTCCCCTTCATTAGCCATACAACACAATGTAGCCAGCGTGTCTTGACTTGATGTGTTGCCTTTACACGCCTGTCTTAAGTTAAACAATCACCAGTTTACCTTAATGCTTGAAATATTAGGAGTTATTTGGCCTCCTGGTCACGTGTTCTCGTTATTTCGAAAGGTGGATATGATAACTTAGTTACAACTTATATATCTTTTTTTTTATTTTGCCCGGGGGAGGGAGGGTGTTAAATTTAATTGTATAGACTTTGTTCATTGACCACTCCGGCTAGCACGCATGGCTACTCACATACATAGTACAAGTGTCAACTGTTACTTTGTTGAACTGACTAATCGTAAAGCATTTCTGGTATTTCCTATCGGCTGTAATCTAAACAGGATTGTTTCTTGTCAATACTGGCAGAACGTGTACATATATAATGTTACACTGTCTCTGTTTTCTGGCCAGTGATGTGGTTGTCTGGTTACGGTAAATGATGGTCAAATGTTACTTTGGTAACGCCGGTGAAGTTGACATTGAAGTTGAGGAGTGATAAAACATGTTTTGTGTGTGATATGTCTGCCGGTAAAAAACAAAAAAGCATTCGGAGTTTGAAAATACCTGAATCGTGAAATTGTTTTATGAGCATTGGCCAGCAGCCAGGGACATGATAAAGCCAGTACACAGGCTACAGTTATTACTTGCAACGCGATTGTCGGACCTTGCCTCGAGGGATCGTAAAGCCGATCTAATTGATGAAATTACCTCGAGTTATAATAATCAGTACATTGAGACGACTTCTTTGGCGGCATCCAATGCATACTGTGACATGTTTGCCCCCAGACTTTGTATACCACGTACACCAGAGACAAAGTACAGCGGTGTTGAATGGTGTCATCACATGGAGGCGTAACAATGTCAATATTGAAGGGATGAACATTCGGTGTTTTTACCTGTTGTTGTTTGACTTTCTCGTGATATCAATTTACTTTGAAGGCCAGCCCATCTATACATCGCTAATGACTTGTAACACGACTCGTTCACTGTTTCGATGACCTACCGGAATAAAGCTATTTATAGAATCCTATTAAGTCTTGGTGCAGACGATTCACTTCCGTTCACATACCACTCTCACATAGAATAGAATAGAATAGAATAGAATAGAATAGAATAGAATAGAATAGAATAGAATAGAATAGAATAGAATAGAATAGAATAGAATAGAATAGAATATTGCGGACATTTCGAATGTTGACGAATGTGAACAAAAAGTGGAAAATATTGTATCCGGATTATTTTAATATTCAAAACAAATTTATCTGTTGTATTATTAAAATACTATAGTCAACGGTCAGTTGTCGCGCAAAGGAACCGAAGTCACTACGTTCCACGTTGTACATATGCCAATGCACAGTCGTAAACTACAGACGGTTGATATTTCTCTAGACACTAGTGTGTTAACAATGTGGACATGGTCATGGCACTCAAGACAAGGTCATACACGTATTAGGAATGTGTTGCAAATAAGACTTGTGCGCAGCCCGCCCTCTACGTGAAACAAATGAAGAAAAAACACAAGTTTCGCCGTTTGTTACCACTTGGGAAATTTGACCAGTGTTGAATGTGTGTTTCACAATTCTGCAAATGTCATGGTTTTTGCTGCAAGTAATTTCTGATATTTACTTCAATTACAGAGACTTGAAAATGGAAAACATAATACTGGATCAAAATAAGCGGAATATCAAGATAGTGGGTAAGTATGTGGCCTTGGTTGCCGAGCAACCGGGCCGAAAAATCACGATTGTCAAAACACGGCGTACGCGGCGCCGACAGATGCATGATGCATTACAGTGTGAAATTGGCTAATTATAATATGTTATAAACATATTGCTGTCGTATGGTTAAATGGATGACGGGGTTTTTAGGGGTGTCATTAGTCCGCAGACCATGTACTTTACCTGCATGCTCCCGCGGTCCATTCTCGGCCTGAGTTTGCTCACAGAGTCCTGACGATCTATTCGTGTGGTTGGTTGCTGAAGTCAATACATAGAAGTATATAGGGCGGAATGACTATGCCCCAGTACAGAGCCTTACTCTTGTTCAAAAGACAAAATAATAGAAATTATCGAATTGAAACAGTTTGTTATGTATGTAATGCAAGCATAGTTCATTATACTTAATTATCCTCGCTCCGAAACTCTGAAAAATACCTGCTTCCGGCCGATCAGCCTGCACTATATTAATCACTATTGCCCCTGTGCCTCCTCGTGCGTTCGCTGTCATGAACGCATGTTCTATTTTACCCCCATACTTGAATGGACCACTAGCTGTCAAGTTTGTTCGATTTATTCTTTTATCAGATTATTTCATTTAGTGTTGATAACTTCAATTTTCTTACTTTTTGTTTTCCTGAAAATGGCTACACTGTTTTGATATTTCTTTTATACTACACAAATTATACTTTTATACTAATCAAATCTAGAAAGAGAGTATTCATGTGCATGTTTCAAAATTGATTTTGCAGACTTTGGTTTGAGTAATACTTTTCAATCCAATGGACTATTACAAACACATTGTGGTTCACCTGAGTACGCAGCACCGGAATTATTTGTAATGGGAACACAGTATGCATCTGAAGTGGACATATGGAGTCTGTAAGTAACCTGCATGTATCTTTAATGAATTATGATTGACTGGAAGGAGGGGGGGGGGGCTCATAGAGGGCTTGTCAACTCATGACAAGGGAACTACAGGGAAGTGTCAAAAGGGAAAGTGACACTCCTCAAAACTTGATGATGTTGCAGCAGAGAATTATCTGAAGACTCCCATTATTGATTGTATAAAACAAAAAACTATAACTAGAGGACTACAAGAAATGGATAGATAAAACCACCTTTAATACTACAGGCCAATTACAATGATAAATATCTATCCAAACTGCACCAACTACTAAACGTATCTGTCATGTTCTGTTATTTTGAAAATTTTTGGATTAGTACATTTGAATAACCTGTACACATGTCACTCACATGTCACTTGCATTTCATTTGCATGTCACTTGCATGTCACTCGCATGTCACTCGCATGTCACTCACATGTCAATCACATGCCAATCACATGATTTAATATGTTGTATCTTTTGTTGATTCAGGGGTATTAATATGTATGCCATGGTAGTGGGAAAACTACCATTTATTACGCTATATACTGAACCACATAGAAGACAAAAGTTATTGCAACAGATACAATATGGACTGACTACTATTCATCAAAAGGATATGGAACATCTCACACCTGGTAAGTTGACACCAAACACCTGGTAAGTTGACACACCCAACACCTGGTATGTTGACACACCCAACACCTGGTAAGTTGACACATGCAACACCTGGTAAGTTGACACACCCAACACATGGTAAGTTGACACATGCAACACCTGGTAAGTTGACACATACAACACCTGGTAAGTTGACACACCCAACACATGGTAAGTTGACATACCCAACACCCGGTAAGTTGACACACCCAACACCTGGTAATTTGACACATGCAACACCTGGTAAGTTGACATACCCAACACCTGGTAAGTTGAAACACCCAACACCTGGTATGTTGACACACCCAACACCTGGTAAGTTGACACATGCAACACCTGGTAAGTTGACACACCCAACACATGGTAAGTTGACACATGCAACACCTGGTAAGTTGACACATGCAACACCTGGTAAGTTGACACACCCAACACCTGGTAAGTTGACACATGCAACACATGGTAAGTTGGCACACCCAACACCTGGTAAGTTGACACACCCAACACCTAGTAAGTTGACACATGCAACACATGGTAAGTTGACACACCCAACACATGGTAAGTTGACACATGCAACACCTGGTAAGTTGACACACCCAACACCTGGTAAGTTGACACATGCAACACCTTGTGAGTTGACACATGCAACACCTGGTAAGCTGACACACCCAACACCTGGTAAGTTGACACATGCAACACCTGATAATTTGACACACACAACACCTGGTAAGTTGACACACTCAACACCTGGTGAGTTGACACATGCAACACCTGGTAAGTTGACACACCCAACACATGGTAAGTTGACACATGCAATACCGGGTAAGTTGACACATGTAACACCTGGTAAGTTGACACATGCAACACTTGGTAAGTTGACACATGCAACACCTGGTAAGTTGACACCAAACACATTATAAGTTGACACATGCAACACCTGGTAAGTTGACACACCCAACACCTGGTAAGTTGACACACTCAACACCTGGTGAGTTGACACATGCAACACTTGGTAAGGTGACACACCCAACACCTGATAAGTTGACACACCCAACACCTGGTAAGTTGGCACACCCAACACCTGGTAAGTTGACACACCCAACACATGGTAAGTTGACACATGCAACAACTGGTAAGTTGACACATGCAGCACCTGGTAAGTTGACACCAAACACCTGGTAAGTTGACACACCCAACACATGGTAAGTTGACACATGCAACACCTGGTAAGTTGACACACCCAACACCTGGTAAGTTGACACACCCAACACCTGGTAAGTTGGCACATGCAACACCTGGTAAGTTGACACATGCAACACCTGGTAAGTTGACACCAAACACCTGGTAAGTTGACACATGCAACACCTGGTAAGTTGACACATGCAACACCTGGTAAGTTGACACACCCAACACCTGGTAAGTTGACACATGCAACACCTGGTAAGTTGACATACCCAACACCTGGTAAGTTGACACATGCAACACCTGGTAAGTTGACACATACAACACCTGGTAAGTTGACACACCCAACACCTGGTAAGTTGACACATGCAATACCTGGTAAGTTGACACATGCAACACCTGGTAAGTTGACACACCCAACACCTGGTAAGTTGACACACCCCGCACCTGGTAAGTTGACACATGCAACACCTGGTAAGTTGACATACCCAACACCTGGTAAGTTGACACATACAACACCTGGTAAGTTGACACACCCAACACATTGTAAGTTGACACACCCAAGATGCAATGTTAATTTCTAATCAATAAATTCATGTATTTTTGAATTAGTTTGTCGTGAATTACTACATTCTTGTATTGAACCTAATCCCGACTTGAGAGCACCTCTGCTGGACATAGAAGTTCATGATTGGGTTACAAAGATGGGATCAGAACAGTTTTGTCCATATCAACCGCCACCTAAAGACAAAGAAGCCAGAAAAAAGGTACATATTTCTACACATATTATGGACTTAACAGAATAGAACCCCCAAAGACTAGAAACCATTAGACCAGTCAGCTGTAGTTTTCA